CCCCAAAACCCCAAAACCCCAAAACCCCAAAACCCCAAAACCCCAAAACCCCAAAACCCCTTGTGTCAAATATTTTATTGATTTTATTCAAAACAAATAAAAACATAATTAATAATAAAATGCTGGCAAACCATCGGCAAGCCAGAGCCAAAGCAACCAAGGGCTCCAAAGAACCCAGGAGATACTCAGCAAGAGCTTCTGATAGATCCAAAACTAGCAGCTACAAAGATAAAGCCCAGAGATACTACTCTTCTTTCGGTGGAAAGAGACACCCTCAACGTGCTGCTCACCAAGAGTACTCAGAGGCTCGCACTCCCCAGAACGACGGTAATAATAACCTGAAGAAGCTCACGAACTTCTACTTGAAGAACAAGGAGCTTGATGAGGAGGCAATCAAGTTGAAGTCTCTGAGTTACCTCGACAAGAAGGGAATTTTGCAAGACAAAATTAATAAACGTTACTACAAAGATAATGATATCGCCAATCATTTAAAGGTTAATCAAAAGCAATGATTGTGCCATCAGATGAGAATCCCTAATAATCAGCTTAGAGTCAGGTACCCAAAATGAGTTCATTCACTCTATACTGAAGATTTTGAAAAGAAGAGAAAATGCATTGGAGGAAAAACTGAAGTTTTCAATAGAGATAAAGAGAAGAAATTTTTCAAAGCTGACCATATTGGCATGAAAACTAGCAAAGAAATTGATTTTGCTGGTGAACAAGTACCTTATGAAAGAGTTACAAAGAAAAGGCCAGCAACTTCTTATGGACCATTTATTTCATCAACTTCTTATGGTCATACTTTCCAAGGATGGGGAAATGCAGGAGGTTACGCACCAGCTTTAGTCCCAAGAGGTAATCTTCAGACAACAGCTAGCATGCCTTTTAAAGCTTGTTCTGCTTACAAGGATACATATAAAAGTGTGCCTGCTTCTCGTCCAGGCTCAAATGTAAATAAGACTGGCAGAGCAAATGCTGGAAAATCTGGTTCTAGAAAAGGTAGCGGACAAGGGGCTCAACACGGCAAGGATAACATCGACCCAAATAAAATATACGGAGGTAAAAATAGAGCACAAAAGAGTCAGATTAGCATTCTCTCATCCCCAGATAAGAAACTAAGATTTATGAATGAGACAACAAATAGAGTTGAATTTGCGAACAAGTCTGGAAATGAGAGATCAAGACCAATAAAGCATCCAGATAATCTTGGAAATCTTGACTTGAAAGTTGATCCCTCTGTTTACAATACTCAATACAGAAACAATTTTAATGACTATAGCAAGGGTGGAACATGTAAAAGGGAAGACGAAAGAATTACTCTTAGGAAAGGACTCAAGCAACTGCAATAAGGATGACATAACAAGTTCACCATCCCACTATCATTACATTTTTCAAGGATTTGGAAAATAATTGGGGTTTTGGGGTTTTGGGGTTTTGGGGTTTTGGGG